ATAAATCGTAATTACTTGGTAATATAGCTCTATTTCCAATAAAATAAATTGGAGTTCGCTGAAATTTTAAACTCCAGATCGTTTAAAGTTTCACCCTAATGCTTCAGTTATTAACTATTTACTTATGTTTGCACTCGATACCACATATGCATTAGAATGCCATCTGCCTTGAGTAAAATGGTACAATGCTCACATATTTTTGATATGATTATGGTTAAACAGACATCCAATTTCAAGACACTTATCCATATCCAGGTCCAGAGAGAAGGTGCTTTGAAGGTACCAAAACATATTTTAAAGATAGACATAATCCAGCAGAGAGCATAAGGTATACACAAAACAATCACCATAAAGACCACAGAGACTATCTGCAAACAAAAAGGGGGGAAACATTAAAAATAACACACAAGGAACATTTTTTTCTTCTCACGCTATATTGATGAAAATGTAATTATAAAAAACACTGCACTTTTACGGAAATGAAAAAGAGAGAGAGAGAGAGAGAGAACCATATAGAGAGAATGGGTAAGAGAAACTTTAAAAATATAATTTATACAATGTCAGCTTAATTTTCTCTAAAACTTAGTAAAAGATAAGGCAAATTTTAAACTCACTTTACGAGCATTTTTTCTCATAAATTCTCTTAACTCCCCTGATTAAAGTAGTTTACAATAATGTAAAAAATATTTTTAAGCTTTTAAAATGGTTGCTAAAAATATATTAAATGCACACATCTCAAATATATTCCCCTAAATACCTTATGACAAGTAAATGCACCAAGGAGAACAATGAAAAGAAGGATGTAGACTAAAAATTTGATGACCATTAGAACAGGCTGTTCATGGGCATCTTTTCGTTCTTCTTCCTCTGTCAGTTCTTGAGTAATGTCCCATGCAATGTAAAAAAAAAAAAATTATTGATAACATACTTTTAAGTAGTAAAAAATTAGCTCATAAACTTTAAGACAGGACTAATTTTTTTTTAAAAAGTGTATACTTTCATGCTCATACTCAATTGGCACAGGAGGAAAATCCTGACAAGAAAACTTCATAGTTGTCTTACGCATTTTGTTTTTCTTGATGTTCCTCATCCTCATCTGATATTGATTGTTTCAGTAGGGTCTCCTCATCATCCCCATCTGAATCCTCTTCATCCCCTATAATAGTTGTTGCAGTAGCTCCCAGACCTGAGCTGTTATATCATGATGAATGGTTTATGTGAAGGGGAATAAGAAATCTAAAACTAAGTGAAATATTGTTTAAATTAGGATATTTATAAGTGTAACCCCAAAAAGTTTGATTTTGGCTTTTCCATTTTGGAACTTGAGATTTTTCAGAAACCTGTCATATAATTTAAAAAATTAAAACAAAAGATAATCAAGTACTATTTCTGTAACAAACAACATTAAGTCTCCACACTTTAAATAAAAGTGTGTGTTTTTAAAACAATTATGTATTCAATTTTTAGGCCTGGTTTTAAGTTAATGTTAAGGGTGGTCTTAACCTTTCTTTTCTTTTTTCTAAATATAGGCTGGTTTAAAAATGGTTTTTCATTTTGTGAGGGACTTTTTTTTATCTTTTCTTTAGCTTATTTAATAGTTCAGATATAATTAATTATATTGAGTAAAATTTAATTTAGATCCATCAAATTTGTTCATTTTTTTTTTGTTGTAGTAATAATGAAGATATTAGCCAAAACATCTTATATTTGTATTGTGTCAATCCATGAAATATACCTTATACTGTTTTATTCAAAATTTTTGTGTGCGTTATTAATCAAACAAGCTGATATAACACCCTTGCAGATGGGATTCCATTTACTGAGATACAGAATAGTATTTAATACCTAACAGCACTAGAATAACTTTAAAATATAAACAAACCCTACCCAGTACTGCTGGAAGAGAAGAGACTTCGATTGTACACAGGATCACTGATATTGGAAGCTGGTGTTGGGATTTCTTTTATTGTACTTAGACTAGCATTGCTCTGAAATAATAAGAGAAAAATAAAAACTAATATATATCAACAGTTTTTTAATGACTGACATATGTTTTTGTTTGTAATTGATATAAAAAGATTTTTAAAAGATATGTATTTATATATGCTACTTTTCTAACAGAATTATGGAGTCTTTTAGAGTAACCAATAACTGATAGATTTATTTCTATAATATTTCAAATGGTTAGCCAGGCTTAAAAAATGTTTAGGCATACATGTATTTAACATTTTTAAATATGATGAATTTAAATTCCATCAATGCAATAATATTTTACTGTCGAAATTCCTTTAATTAAAACAATTGTTATTCATTTTCCAATACAAAAAAAAAAAAAAAAGAAAAAAAGAAAAAAAAAAAAAGAAAGAAAAAAAGAAAAAAAAAAAAAGAAAGAAAAAAAGAAAAAAAAAAAAAAAAAAAAAAAAAGAAAAAAAAAA